ATTCAATTCAATTCAATTTTATTTATATAGCGCCAAATCACAACAAAAGTCGCCTCAAGGCACTTCATTTATAAGTGCAATGTATTAGTTGAGTTTCCTTGACTCCAACATTGGTCCTGTCTTTACTTGGTGTTAGATCAGTTTGTAAGTTTGGCATTTGTATACTGTGCTATCTGAGAGTTGCATAAAATTATTTTTGGCTGCCTATTTGACACAAGTGGGTAGTTCTGTACGTTTGAATGGGAAGAACTTATGTTGGATGCCCTTTCAGACACAACCTCAAACGACAATATGTTTCTCCAGTTGGAATCAAACCAGCAACTTTTCACTTGCCAGTCTAAAGTGTTAAAAACTACACAATCAAAGGTGCACTTTAAGTACTAACCATAAATATACTTTCATAATTTACATTACATGAATATATTAGTTTGTGAAATTGCTTCTTAATCAGTTTTTCTTCGAGTATGTCTACAATGAGTGTCAGTCAGATGCATGATGTAGAAGTAGATTGTGTAAGGTGAACATACCTCATCACACATTAATAAGCTGAGAACCACAGCAAGAAAGCCAGTGGATGGATAAGCAGCCTTCTTTCTCAGCCAGACATCATGAACATATTTCATGAAAGCTGGATGAAGGATCGACACCTGTTGTGAATCAGACAAATCTTTAAATCTGAGTTTTATTAATTGTTCTTTTATGAAGTATATGCACAATATACTAATATACAAAATACTTTAAATGAGCACCACTGTGGCTAAAAGAAGCCATTATTAGTGGCATGGCTTTGTTCAGTGACATGCATGACCTTCTGAGCACATAATTGTCAAGTATGAGCGACTGTGGAAAACAATAACAATACTCATTGCAGAACAGAGTAAACAACAAATACTTCAACAAAGTAAAGGCTGAGGGGTGGGGAGAGCCATTGCTAGGGAGGGGGGCATTACTGGAAAATGTGATGAAGCATATCTTGCCTTTGGCTTCACCTACTCCAAAGGCATTGGGAGCACCCGCTGGGCTGTCCAAATTGGCGACAAACAGTATCCAGCATTCTTGATTTTTAGTGGGAGCGTACATAATTCTTATTTTAAAAAATTAAATTTATTCAAAATGACGACGTTGATGTCAGGATTGGTTTGTGAGAGCGTCTGACGCCTCTGTCTTTCTAAATGGGGGACAGTGACTGCGTGTGTCTATGTAAGCATGCATGCCTGAATTAATGGTAGCGTAAAGTTATTATTGGACTTCTTGGGTATCAACATTTGCCAGTTTTGTTAAGGTAAACCTAAAATACTCACCAAATTTTTGTTAGCTATCTTGTTAGAGTTTGGAGCACCTTTTTCCCTGTTGAAAAGAAAATATATTGTTGAATTTGTTTAAAAAATTATTGTTTGACAAACAAATGCTAATAATTACCTAAGACTTAAGAATCACAATAAGATGTTCAGTTGTTCATAAAACAATTTATTTACCTTTTTTCCATGTAAAAAAAAAAGAGTTGCTGCTAGCTGTGTGAAAAACCAGAATATATCATAGGAATATATTTTAATATCAAACAGCTCTTGGGGAGTGGGGTGTCTCAAAATTGTGTTTTAATATTTCTTGTTTATTAGCCCACTAAAAAATTTGAAAATTGTTAAAGAAAGTGGATATGCAGCTAAAAGTAATAGTATTACTGCTTCAGCTGTAAGTTAAATTACTCCCAATGGTCCCAACGGCAACTAGAGAGCAGATTTAATGGGGAGATGCAGTGCCTGTTTTAGGGAAACATGGTTTGAAGCTAACATTCTGTCAAAGGCTTGACCACACATACAATGGGACAATGCAAGATGTTCAATTCATGACCCTCAGGAAATCAAGGCATTTTTGTATGCAGAAAAAATGAAGTAAGATGAGCCTGGTAGAAGAATCGATGAAGAAC